TAAGTTAGTTGACTGTCCAGAAGGACTGATTCATAAAATCTAGAAAAATATTCCTTTAGATCCCAGATCAGTTTTCCATTCTGTAAAATGGACCTAGTGTGCTCCCCTTCACAGTAAATATAAGTGTAAGCAGAGAGAAGTGTGGCTTACAACATGGGAGGGGTGCAAAAAAAGAATGAATGGGCTCAGTGCCATTGCCTACACAATGCATTAAACACTACCTCATTTGGGATACCTAGAACGCCTACTGAAAATATCCCAAATCAACACTCTTTAAAGAGACAAACTGAACAAGCATTCACTAATTCAATGGTTATCTTGATTTCAGTTATCAGGAAAGTGACTCTAAGATGATTTGAAAACAAACAAACACCAGACCAAGAAGGGAAAAAGTCTTACTAGCTGGCCGCCTCAATCATCCTGACCACCAAAGCTCTTGATCATTTACGCAAAATTCTATTTCCTATTCCCTGTCACACCTCAAACCTTATTCTGTCTGCTTGGCAAAAATAACCAAACATCTAGATAAAACAGAAGAGACAGTCACTTACAAATAACATGACATTTTGGAAAATGGGCCAAAATGTTTAGTTAGGAGAGCTTTAATGGGGTCAGGTGCACAAGGCAGTGTGTGTATGTGCATATGTGTGTGTCCACACACGTGAAAGCATACTATTTGCATATGTTTAATGGTAGCCCTGATGTCTACCGTGAAACCAAAAAAAAAAGAAGAAGAAGAAGAAGAAGAAGGAAGAGGATATTTATGGTTAGGCACATGCTAAGTAGAGGAAATAACTCTCCAGGAATAAGGAAAGTAATGTTGAATGCAAGCATACAGGGGAGGAAAAAAAAAAGCATTCAAGTCTCAGAAGGGACCGAGAACATATTTGAGACCCCCAGTTCTCAGTGCACCCCAAACCAGACAATGAGGGGAGGACAATGACTTCTGAACCACAGAGGCTAAAACTCAAGAGAGAACCGTGGGGATCTCTAAACAGCATATCTCTCTTTCTTTCTATTCTGACCTCTCTGGGGGCGATCAGGCACTTCAAGAATATGCCTAACATTAGAGATTTACTAGCAAATTCTTGTTACTGATGAGGCTGAGATTGACCGGAGCCTTGGTTTCCTTGTTTGTAAAATGGAAGCAATTAGACTTCATCCTAAGGTTATTTTGAGAATCGCATTCTAGGATATGCCTGGAATAATGTCTATACTCAATGTAGATATATTTTAATATTTCCAAATTCAACATCTGACTCAAGGCATGTACTTGGGATAAGCAAAGAATCTAACATTCCAGTAAAGCAAGAATAGGATGGACAGAGGAAAAAATCAGCTCCCTCCCCACCTACCACCTTCCTGAACTTTCCTTGCCCCATGTTCCCTTGAGGGCACCTGATGTGTTCTCTGTCACCCGCCACAACAGTAGGCACTTGGGACTCACAAGGAAGTCTCCCTACTCCCTTCCCTGATACATTTATACCCTGAACTAGCAAAAGTAGTTTTCACAAGTCAAAAACAAAGCCAAACGAGAAAGCTTTCAGGAAATAGTCTTTTTACATCATGGTCTATTTTTTAATCCTTTGAGGATTTTTTCCCAACCTTTCCTTGAAGCACATGTCACAGAGCAGAGCTGGAAGGAGGCACGATTAGGCAAGGGCTGGAGAACTAAGAATCAGATCTAAGCCTGTTTGTGCAGAATGCGGAAGGGCGAGTTTATTCACCTGGTTAGATGCTCCTAGGTTTCCTAAAAACTGTCTTTGAAGGCTCAAGTTATCAATGGCATTCCCAGGAGCACCACTATATTCTCCAAGGTTACTTCTAGATCTAGGAGAGGGTTTTATCGTTTGATCATGAAATCAGATAAATTTTTACTTCCTGGCAAGAACTTTATTTATCATTTCTAGTTTCAACATTTACTCTGTGTTTGCCTTTCTTGGGTCCTTGGTTATCTTTTCTACTAAGAAAATGAATTTCTAGACCATAAGCTACTCTGGGAAGAGACTGTATTTTCTATTCTCTCTGCAGCTCCCCAATCCCAAGGTGGCCTTAAAAGGAGAGGAGATACTCAGTGTAGTGCTATCAGCTGACCAGTGTCTTTTGCTTATCCTTGGCTCTCATCTCAGTGATCACGGCCAGCTTTCATCTTTGGTTTGAGGTTTTAAACTTTTTAAACTTATATCCTTCATTGACTCTTCCCAGGGAATGGGAATGGGTCCCTAAAAAATATATATTCTCTTTTCCAGGACTCTGAGGCAGGGAGTGCTGGGGACCTTAAAGAAAAATTAAAATTCAAAGAGGGATGCTTGGGTCTGTATAAGGCAAGAGGCAAAGAAAGACAGGTCAGTTCTATGAGGTTCTCTGGCTCTTATCCCAGAGATACTCAGGAGAGACTTCAAAAAAGACCTAGAAATGAGTCAGCCTGGTAAAGGGAACCAAGCTTGGAAATGGGCCATGACGTCTTGGGTTCTAGACCTGGCTCTGACACTGTCAACTGGACGATGGTATAGATCCCCGCCTCCTAGGGAACTTCATTTCCTCTTAGTTTTCTCATCTGCCATCCCCTTGCCCCAAATCTTGGTGACTTCTTTAAGTTATGTTTTTCTAAGATCCTTCTGGGCAGCCACCTTTAGCTGATGCTCTACTGAGAGTATTCTGACCACAGAAAGAGTGCGGTGGGGAAGAGAAGGAGGAATTTAAAAGGAAGTGTGCCCTTTGGTGGGTTGACAGAAATCACACGTCTATATTAGCATTGTCTTCAGAAGCAAATGTGAGCAGAATATATTCCATGCCCCTAACTCCAGATACATTTTCAGAGACGGAGTCAAGAACACCAACACCCAAATCCCACTTGGCTCTGTCACCCTCCCTAGAACTGAGATTTAAGAAAAAATAGTGCCCTCTCTACCTAAATATCACCCCATCAATAACCAGAATGGGTTTTCCATGTGTTAATACCATCATCATTATTTAATTTTTAACATAAACTTTACATTATGTACAATTGTATTTGGATAATACACTTACGTGTGAATTGTAGAAATCAGGCATGTATAGTATGTACATGTGTACACAAGCATTTGTATTCACAAGATAAGTGCATTCGATCATCTCTGATCTCTATCAAGTGGCAAGCTGACCTCATCTGTACAATTAGATATGAACATAGTACAATGGAAAGGGATCAAATGCAAAATGGGCAACAGCATATTGGGAGAACTTTTCAAGTATAGACCCCACCTAACCTCTCATTAAGAACTTTCAACCCTGTTTCCCAAAAGAAGATGGGGGTATCTGGATATGTTTCATTTTGTCTCAAGTGAAAAACAAAAAACAAAACAAAACAAGAAAACACGGCTTTTGGAATGGAAATTACCTTTATAGAGAACCCCTAACTCATTAAATATCAAACAACGAGTTTAGCTTCCACCTACTCAGCTCTGTTTTGTGTTTTTACCTTGAAGTTCAATTACAGCTATGATAGCCATGAATAATACAAACAGGCTCTCTCCCAGAGACAGCTCATGTCCTCCTTTCCAAGATTCACGCACAACAGCAATGCACAGAGAAACAGTACAGGCGTGTGCCTCACATTAACAAATACATTCAGCTCTTCTGAAAGATATTTAGGTTTCTCAAATTAGTATTTATTTAGGTCTCAAACTGCAAGGGATTTCAGTATAAGGTATTTATTTATATGACAACTGATTATTAAAGCTGCACGTTTTAAGTTTAAAGGAGATAAATTTTTAATCACCATTTAATTAACACCCCACCCCCACCCCTTTTCATTAGCAATTCTATCTGCGAAGAATTCAGGGCATTTGTCATTTCCTGAGAAAGATGCAGAATATTAAATAAATACCAGCGGTAGAAATATCAAATAGAGTGAACAATGTGTGACGGTATGGCTGCCATGGATCTTTTGACTAATTAGCTGCCTTGGCTGGAGTCCCATTTAAGTGAAACTATTTCATTTGTAAACAAGGTGTAATTTTCTTTTTCTCTCCTGAAAAGAAGCGTGAATTGATTTGACTGATTTTGCTGCAGTGGATGAATTTTAATGCTTTCATCAGAAAAGCTAAGTACAAATACTTTTCGGGCACCCTATGAAATGAAAGAGAAAACCAAATATACTCCATGAGACACCCAGTCATGGTGCTGGCTGAAATCCTCCAGTGAGATTTGCAAAGGACAGAAGAGTAATGCATGGAGAGATTATAATCCCACACCTCTCATGGAAGCCTCACGGGCAGAAAAACAGACCCATTAGGGATTTGCCTTCTCAGAGCATTGAAACCAGAAGTGACCTAAGAACTGCAGTGTATGAGAATAAGAAAAATTATTTTCCAGGTACGCACAGGTTTCCCAGAGTAGAATTCATGTCCTAGAAGACTCTCCTCTTAACATAGAATCTTTTCAGTTGGTTGCAGATATGGGCTATTACCTGTGGGCAGGCACATCAGCATCTGCATTCAGGTGTACCAGTTGGGTCCTTCTCAAGTGGAGAAAATCACGTGGAGCTAATTACGACGCCAGTGAAACTCAGGCACAAAATTGGGTTCTGAGATTCTGGCTCCTTGGCATCAACAAATCTAAGGTCACAGAACCCTTTGGGTTGGATCCATAGTTCAGGGCTTCCTGTTTCATTCTTATCACCTTCTATACTGTAGATGTCATTTACTGTTGGGTGTTATATTCCTGATACTCTTTTTCCAAAGAACTGACTGAGTGTGGATTCCCTCTGAATAGCTCCACATCATCTTTCACTTGGAAATTGACTATCTAATCAATGGTCAATTTTCTTATGTTTGGGATCATCCCAATTAAGAGTTAGTGAATTAGTGGAGGAGGGAAATTGGATATTTATTATATAGTATCCAATTCTGGTTATTTATTTTTTAGAAAGAACTTTGGGTATGAAAGAAAGTATGCTTTTTTTTTCTTTTTTTTTTTCTCCCAGTACATTACTGTTGGTTCGTCCAAAGGCTATATTTTTAGTTTCTTAACCAGAGAACCAGGGGCTTAACAGCAGCAATTATGCTGTTATTACAAGGCTTTGGGGGCCATGGAATGACTCCACGTGTAATTTGCACTGTCCCTGGAGCTCTCTGTCACACTTGGTAGCCCCGTGAGTTTTGAGAACACTGGAGGAAGACAAAGCCTCTTTGGATTGATGACATACCACTGCTTTGTGTTCTGGGAAGACTTTTTAATTCATGTCATGTTAGGCATGCCAATCTTGTGTGGAAATGGAAGTGATCCTGGCTGGGGAAAGACAGGTCTGCAATGCAATGGAAGGGCAAAGGCAGAATGTTCTAAAAGACAGTCAATGGTGCACCTGAAATTAGAAATTGGAGTGACTATTTGAGGTCCTCCAATCTAGGCTTCTCTGTCGTTGGGTCTAGTGGCAGCAAAGGTGATATATCCATGAAATAAAATAGTGTTCAAGTGCATTCAATGTCTAGTCAGCCCCTTCTTCCTTTCGACCTCAAAGATGATGGGAAGCCTTCCTTACCCACTGTTTTTCTCTGCCTCTCTACCACTGACTTAAATTTATTGCAACCAGTTTTCAACATTCTGAGAATACTGTATACCTACAAAACAGAAAACACCATGAATAAAAGAAACAGAATAACTTTCAACCCGCCACTCTGTCCCCTTTTCCAAGAACCCAAAGCCAAATGCAGGAGGGTCAGGCTAGTCTGCATTAGCTTGGGGTTTCTGCAGCATGTCATCAAAACAGACTGAGGTACCCTGAAGAAAAAGACAATGACTACTTCTCCCAAATATTTCAGTTATATTAATGTATTTAAAATACACTAATTATTAAATTAGAGCTATATAAAATGTTTAATATTATTTGTGGTTTTTGTATCATTTAATCTTGAAACTAGAAAATTCTGGTCTGATAATATATCATAATATAACAACCATCTTTGTTTATTTACTTAGGCACTTTGCATGTGCCAGGCACAGTGCTAAGAGCTTCCCAAGCATAATGTTACCCCTCTCTTCCACCATTATATTAGACGAGTATCATTTCATATCATACGTGCACAGGTTTGAGTAGAGTAACAATGGGATAATGGAGAGGACTCAGGAATGACAAATGCTTTGAGGAATTTTTCATCTACCTCTGTTGGTGCTTGTGAAACAGCCAGCCTCCAACAGAGTGAATATTTCAGAAGAGAGAACTCGCTTGTCCCACTGACATTTATCCACAATTTGGAAGATGCTCAGGGTAGATGCATGAGCGTGTCTCATGTTTTGAAGGTTTTTGATTTGGGGAGGCTGGGTTAGAAACGAGTGTCCAACAAAATTTCATGACGTTAAGAAGCATAAACCTAAAACCATGCTAGCCTTCTGCAGACAGATGGCCTTGTACTTCTTACAGATCACGGCACACATATGGCTATTGGTGCCTGCCACCACATTGACAACCTTGGGAACAGCAACACACAGTTAATTAGACGCCACCATGGCTATTTGGGGGACTGAACAAGTTATGGTACTCTGGGAGGAAAGGGGTAACAGATACTATACAACCCTGAGTCATCACCAGAAAGGGGGAGATGCAAACTTACATACATAAGAGTCTTCAGGATAAACTACAATGGCCACTGTGTCATAACAGAAGATCCACACTTAGATATCGAAGACATACATGTGTTCATTTACGCAGCCCTGAACAAGACCATCAAAGCCAAGGGTGAGAGAGTATCTGTGAAACACACAAATGGACATCCAAAGAGATTCTCGTAGTTCTCTGCCTGAGGGCCCTTCCGGCCTTTTACTCCAGATATGTCTGGGTAACGGGCTATAATGAAAGTAGCATAGTTAGCATGAAACATACTGATTCGCTATTCTTTGGGGGAGGCTGGAGTTCTGGGGTTGGGCCTGGGCGGTGATGAAAGGCATGACAATAAAGCTGAAACGGTTACAAAGCCAAACTTCCTAATCTCTTGCACATGTCAATCTCACTACAGTGCAGATGCATTCTTAACTGTTTTATGTGGTCTGTGTCAGATTTACATGCATACCATATTGCTTATTCTGTATTAGAGAAACCATTAGGCGTTTCTGATGAGGAAATTGCATGGGGGACTGGCTTAATGGAATTTGGAATATAGGAAATCACAACATCACCATTGGCATCCAAGGCATCATTATTGCCAATATACCTAGTGGGCAGGAGACTTGCCATTTTATTTATTATTTTTTGGTTTAGGACTCACCTATCTGGTATCTGCCATTCTCAGCACACATCTCACAAGATTCCTTGAGTGGGAGACTGGCATGGAGCCATGTGCAAAAGAACCAACAAAAAAAATACCTTCCTAAATCCTCTTCCTCTTTGCAGGGCACTATTGGACATCCAACATTTTCCCTCCAGAGTGTTGGCCATTACGTATGTTTCCCTATAGATAAAACATAATGGAAGGTTTTAAACATCAGATTCAATACTAGGCATTTTCTTGTACACACGTCTATTGCTGCAGGAATTCAGAACCCTGGGGGTCGAGTACATATTATTCTTATTTGCAGCATAAGGCATAACATGCTCGGAAATATACACATCGTTGTGGCCTCTACTGTCCCTGGAACAGTACGATGCCGTTGACCTCAAGGAGGATCGAAGATAGCTGTCATTCCCTGTCTGGGATGGCAAGGAGTGTTTATAAGAGTCCGAGGGGCATCTCCCAATGACTAAGCGTTGGTCATCCCCATAGGAATGGAGGAAAGGGTTATCGGAGGTGTGGTCTGGCAGGAGAGACTTGCTCCGCTTGCTGTCCTCTAGACCCTGAGGGAAGAGGGAGCTTTTGTTCCCCAAGAGTTTGCTGGAGGGGACACTAACCAGACTCCCATACAAATTTCCCTCCAGAAGCCGTTCCCTGTCCTTGAGGCTTATGCTCCGAGAGGGCCTGCTAAGGTCTATCTCCCTGGGCTTATCGAGGATGTTATCGTAGGAATGCTGACGGCTAATTCTTAGCTTGTTCTTTTGGAACTGGAGGGCATTGTTCTGTGCCCAGTCCTGCTGGTAGACCTCCTCCTGGGTGGCTGGATCACCTGTCTCCTGGAGCATCTGGTCTTCATCGATGTCGTAGAGGTTCCCCATCCGTAGGCAGGCGTCACACTTGAAGGGCGACCTCATGGTGAAATGGCCCGAATAGGTAGGCAGGTTGGAAAGGCAGCTCCTGCAGTGTGTGGAGCTCTGCCGGCAACGGTCACTGCCCTCACTGAGAGGGGAGCTCTTGTCTTTCAAGGTGAAGTGCTTGGAGTAGAGCTTATACTGGTCATTGTTGGGAAGCCCGTCTTCATTGTGCAGAGGGTTCCTATTCATGGGCAGCGTGGAATCCCCCTTGCGGAAGTTCTCATTGTGGTCCTGGTAGGCATCTGGGAAGTCCATGTTCTCAGGAAGGGCCATATTTTCAACAAACTGGGGGGGATCTAGGTGGAAACTGGGCTCCTTCTCACCATCGATGGTGTAGATCTTATCCCTGGGGGAGCTAGTTTTGGTTTTCAAGTAGGAGCGCTCGACCTCGCTGCAGTCTTTGGGGTATTTGGAGGCCATTGACCTTTTGAAGTTGTCCTTGGTCTTGTGGTTCTTATTATTGTCAGGTTCCCTGTGGCACGTGGCCCGACTCGAAGTTTCTGAAATGTCCGAGTGGGCCACTTCCTCTGGAAGATACCTGGGACTCTTTAGGGAGTGGGTCCTATTCTCCACTGTTCCCTCATCCCTCTGGGACACTGGGTTCTGGGTCACTGAATCTTGGCGTAGAGAGTCCATGGATTTCTTCCAAAGCTGTCGGGGCCTGGAGTTCCCTTTGGATTCTGTGCTCACAGCCACCTCTACTGTGTTAGGGTTGGACTCGTTGAGAGTCAGAGGGTGCTGGCCCTGGAAAACATAGTTATTGAGGTTGTCCTTGTGCCTGTTGGCCACAAACGTTTGCAGTTCATTCATGTTGTCCCCAAAAATGCTGTCTTTCCCCTGAAAGGACCTATTGTCTGAATATATCAAATTTCCCTTATCTGAAACCATGTCCATGATGAGGGAACCTCTTTGGATGAGGTCAGCAGCTCTTTTGGGAGAATCCATTCTTGAGGAGTTCATGTTGGATATGTTGGATATGTTTTTGGCTGACCGAAAGAGTTTCAACATGTTGCTCTGTGAGCCAGTCAGATTGAAGTCTGGTGACTTCTTCTTTTCTTCAATGTGCACCCCATGGATGCAGCTGTAAATGCCCTGTGGGAAGTAATATAACACACCATCAGCAGCAGCAAGGAGGGGAAACACTCCACACCTGAACTCTACTGGGGGTGAGATATGGCCTTCTCGTAGGGGACCTGGAGAAATAGTGAAATTCAGTCTGAAGCCTGACCATGTTTCTTAAATGGATGAGACCAATGGCAAAGCCTCAGGCTTATCTTGTCTCTCTGGCTCAAGATCATCAAATACTTTTGCAAATAGTCATACATGAAGTTTGAGAAAAGGTATCAATGAATGCTCATGTAACTAAGAGGGTCTCAGTGCCTCCAAATTGACATGTTTAATTGACTCTTCCAACAACCAGGTCATCAACTCATGCTTTTTATTAAAGTTTCCCCAAATCACCTTTGGAATTTGTATACCAGAGAATCAGCTTTTGATAGACAAACTAAGCTGGCATAAAAGGACCACCTATTATTCATTCTTTTGGGGTATTACCCCTACCCACACACTGAAGCAACAATCAAATCATGAGATCCAAGCAAGTCAGTTAGAAAATACTTACTTATTAAGGGTAGGCATGAAATCTATGTGTGATTAATCAGATGTGTTTTGGAGGAATAGACATAAATGTTGGGATAGAAGGAGCAGTTGCCGGGGACTAGTCCTACCACCATTATCCTGAGGGACAGTATCCTGAGAGTGAAGCCACCAAAGAAAAAAGTAGCATTCAGGGGATAGAGAGACAACATGGATTGAAGCTTTGGAGTTACTCTCTTGAACGTTTCACTTACCCCACTCGACATATCGTTTGTGTGTTTGTTTGGTGTGAATCTGCTCAGTAAAGTTGGGTCTTAGTTGCTAGGGACAGTGGAGAGTCCTAATGACACCGTGTGTTGCATTTCAATCCATCTAGGGACTCAGTGACTTACAGGCTCCTGGGTCACTCAAATACAGGGACGTCCATCAATATGTCTCTTGTTTTCTACTACACTTTCTTCCATTTTTAAAAATAGTTGTTTACTTCTACTTAATAGTAACTCAAGCAAAGAACTCAATTCATGCTACAGTAGCAGGCAAGAGGGTATTGGTGACATTGTGCTTTTGTGACATTCCCCTTTCCCCACTCCTGTTCTCAGAGTTTGGCAGCCGTACCTACAAGGAACTATCAGATCAAGCCTGCAGGAGTTGACCTGGTCCTCCCAAGACTGATGGGGAGCCAGCCCAAGAAGGGGTTTGTGAAAGCAGATGTGGCAGTTGCTGCTGACTTTGGCATGAACTCGTGGAAAGTATATGTGATTAACTTTGGACTCGGATAATAGTGGCTCCATCAGCTCCCCATGGCGGGGGTGAGTTTAACCCACAGAGATGTTCAAGGGACTGTGACAGCCTCAACCCTGCTGCATTTTTCTTGTTTTCTAGAGACAGTTTCCGCTCCAGCCTTCAAGGAGAGGCAAACAGAAAAGCCCACCGTTGTGTCTGAGCACCTCTTTCCCTGACACTCTCCATCCCCAGCTGCATGGCTCTGGCTCCATGCCCTTTACCCGTCTTCCTGCAGCTCTGTCTTTTGTCTCCTTCTCTGTGTCCTGTGTGGCTGGCTGTTCACCTGCCAAAAGGAGCTCATTGCTTCCAGGGTGGCTGGATGCGGAAATCATACCCATGCACGTACAGTTCACACAGCACGGTGCTTCTGAACCTTTTACCTTACCCTGTGCTTTCTCTGCCCAGTTTAGCAATACAATAATCTTATTCCCTGGCCCAGAGGGGTAAAAATCAGGGTGTCTCCTTTATGTTTGAATCAGCCAAGATCTGTGCCTTTTCTTCCTGTTGTCAGTATGATGAAATAGTAGCTTATAAATTAAAAAAATTTTTTTCCAAAATTTTAATTATCTTATTCTCTTTCTCTCTCTCTCTCTCTCTCTCTCTCTCTCTCTCTCTCTCTCTCTCTCTCGGAGAGTCATCAGCATTAATTTGAGATAAAAAAAAAAAAAGAATAGTTATTTGCCCAGCCAGTGTGGCTCAGTTGTTGAGTGTCTACCCATGCACCAGGAGGTCACTGGTTCAATTCCCGGCCAGGGGACATGCCCAGGTTGTGAGTCTGATCCCCAGTGGGGGGCATGCAGGAGGAGGCCAATTGATGTTCTCTCTCATCGATGTTTCTATCTCTCTCTCCCTCTCCCTTCTCTATAATCAATAAAGAAAAAAATATTTTAAAAGAAGAAAAGAATAGTTATTTGGTATTTTCTTTTAATGAGCTCCTCTTCCCTCTAGAGATTTGAATACTTCCCCCCCACCCCTTCACCAGCAGAGCAATATGGTCCCTTGCTGAGAGGGGCTGGCTGTCCCTCTATTCGGAGCGGCCCACAGAAGTGGTCAGGGAGCCGAGTTATGTTTCAGGAGCTAGAAGGATGGCTGTTCACTGCTTCCTCTCATCCCTGGTTTCCCCTGGGACTAACTCACACAACACAGCTAAGGCAGCTCCTGGGTGTATCTGCCTGGTGCAGCCACAGGTAGGAGTCAACGTGATGGACCCAGTCTGTGCCTCAGGTTTAGATGACAGCATTCTCCACCTGAGTTGACCCATCTTTTAGATGGGTTGCTGAGGGAGGCAGTGTATACCCAGAATAATGGGAGGAGTCAGAGGCCTGGAACCCACCAGATATGAGTCCCAGCTCCACCTTTATTAGCTCTGTGACCTTGGATAAGCCATTACATCTTTTTGAGCCTCCATTTCCACATCTGTAAAATAGGATCATATACTCCTAAGGAGGGTACCAGGGCAAAATAAAATAAGGTGAGCCTAGCACTTGACACAGTAGGGGCTCCATAAATGTGGGCTGGAAGAGTTGCTTGATCCCCCCAATCTGCCCTTCCTGTGTTCCCTGGCCTCCCCCTTCACACCAGTGTGAGCACACGCTGCCCATTTTGTCAGAGCTGCAAAGACAGGCCTGCTACACTCTACTACCAAAGGTTTGTTCTCGAAAGGCACTGGCTTCCTGGTAGATGAGCAGCCCAAACCCGACCTCGGGAGACAAATCCCTGGGCTCACGTTTCTTTCCTCCCTGCAGAATTCTCTCATTCTTTTCTCCTCTCTGTTACTCACAGAATCCAGTTACATTTTATAGGCTGTGGAAAGAGGGCGCCCTCTTGACCCCAGAGTGGGCTCGGCTAAAATTAGCAATGAAGTCTCGACATGCTGGTCCAGACAATTTTCTCTGCTCCAGCCAAGGGCCCCCAGCCCCTCAGAATGTTCTCAGTGGGGCATGGCTCTGCTGTCCCTAAAGTGTCTGTTATGGACTCAATGTTGTGTCCCCCCTCAAAGTCATATGCTGACATCCTAACCCCCAATGTGATGGAATTAGGAGATTAGGTTTGGGAGGGGCTTAGGTCATGAGAGTGGAGCCCTCCCGAGTGGGATTAGTGTCCTCATTAAAGAAACCCCAGAGAGCTCCCTCACCTCTCCCACTGTGCGAGGACACAAGGAGATGTCTGTGACCCAGAAGAGGGCCCTCACCTGACCATTCGGACTCCTGGTTTCCACAACTGTGGCCAATCAATGTCTGTCATTTATAAGCTACTGATGTGGTATTTTGACAGCAGCCCACATGGACTACCAGGGTCTGTGTCTCCTGGTCCCAGGTGTGGGCTAACCAGAAGCGTCTTCCTTTGCTTCCGGCCGCCCTCATCTGCACTCACTGGGAAGGTCACGGTCTGTCTCCCTGGTCCTCGGCTTGGCTGTGTCTCCCGTTCCTCACGTCTCAGAAGACCACCCCCACAGTTCTTTTTGCTGGTGACAGTGACTGTTTTTTTCTACTTGAGCGGGAAAGCATTTCAGAGAGAAAACAAAAGCGAAGGGCATCCCACTGACAAGAGGGGAGAGTTCTGTAAGGCGTCTAAGACAAAGGCCACATCTGTGGGAGAAGCTTGATTCGAATGTTAAATAAATGGCTTCTTTGAGCTCTAGCCTTCTCCCCGGGCACTGCTAGCTGGGCATGGACCTCAGGTTTGCATTGGTTCAAATTATCCAGGAGCTCCCCAAGGGACAAGCCCAAAAGGAGGGCTGTGTGCGTCTGCTGTGGGGTAGTAACTTTATGTCTATTGCGTGGCTGGTCAATGCGCTAAACAGAGACTGGGCATGGAGAAACCTGGCTCATGTGCAGAAAACCCTGCATTGGGGTACGGGTGAATTTCTGAGCCTCCTGGATGGAATCCCTTTGAAAGGAGACTGAACTCTGAAACTGGTGAAGACCTGCTACCCAGCCTTGCAAACACACACACGTTTCCTCTCTTGTGCTTCCCTCCCCCAACCCTGGCATGAGAGATGAAGTGAGAAGACCCCTGTTGTTTCAAGAAAACATGCAGTGAACCCACAAGGATCCCATTTTAACCTGTTGGGCCTCAGTGTCCCCATCTATAAGATGGGTGTGATCAACCTATATATGGGTGTGATGGGCTTGTGAGGATTAGAGAGAATGGCCCAGGCTCTCGTTTACATACTTGTAGGAAAGTAGGCTCCTTGTTTCAGAATTCCCCATTGCAGGTTCTTGTTTTGTGTTTTTTTTTTTTTTTTACAGAAAATGATTGCGTGTACACAATGAAGATGTGTTTGTTTCGGTGTGTGTTCTCTGCACTGTGAGTAAGCATATATGTAAGGTGGCACATGTGTGAATATGCATGAGACAAACTGTAAAGGTGTGTGCTGGCCCTTGACCAGAAAGGAAGAACATTTTTTAAGCAACCCAGAAGTCCTTCTATGCACAGCGCTGGGGGCTAAGCCCACTCTGAGTTCCCCTAACAGATAAGAGATGTATTAGGGAAACTCAGAATGAGAAAAAGGATGAGATTTTTTTATCCACATATATTAGGCTGTACTTATTTTAAAAAGTCAAACCTTATCTGGGGAGATGGTCAGTGTTCAAGCAGGGCTCCCTGCAACCTTTGAGGATAGGGGAGAGGGTGGCTGGGAGCGTCAGGGGGGCATGGAAGTCCCTTCAGTGCTCCTATGGGAGGAAGGGTCCACTCTCTCTTAGGGAAGGGAGGCTGAAGTTCAAATTCCAGACGATCACGCTGAAATACAACAACGGCTGCTCCTGTGTGCTCAGTCTCCCCCCCACTCCCATTCTTCAAGCTGCTGGGAACGCGAGTGAGGGATTTAGTTCATTTCTTACAATAATGATCCTATCAACTTGGCTTCCTTAATGGTGTCTCAGACCAAGGAAATGCTCTTCCAAACACAAGCAGGATTTGTAAGTAAATGCAACAGTGTGCACTTGCCCATGGCGATCCCAGAACCCTTTGGATATAGAAAGCCTTTAGTAGTTGGCAGAGAGGATTCACTTCAAGTTGGCATACCTAGCTGTATGCATGCACATTGTTATTTTTAAGCAATCTCTGTGTTTAGATGCCATCAAGCTAATTAAGAAATATGTATTTGCATCAAACTCAAGTTCACAGTGCCATGGAAAGGAGAAAATAAATCCTCCTCACTAAGCGAATGTCTACCTTCTGAATCTCCAAAGTTTCATTTCAGGCTCTGAGACGGCACGTGCTATGTGTGTTCTGTTGGGTGTGTACACACATAGCATGGTGGTGTGTGCAGATTGCGTTTGGTCATGCACGTTCTATTGGAATGCACGCACACTGTGACGTCCTGTGTGGGAAGGGTAGTGGTGTGGTATAGCATGTCTGTGTGCTAACGATGGAGGTCGCAGACGGCTGTTGGGCCCACATGGTGGTTTGTGGGTTTTTTAAAAAAATGGAATTAGTTACTAATTTGAAAGTTTTCTTATGAAATCAAATGACTACTTTCTCTTTTACAAATAAGAAGACTTGACAATATTGGCTCTGCACTCCCATCCTCCATTGAAGCTGACTGTGCCCTTCAGGTGTAGTAAGCACTATGCAGTTTGTCATAGTTAGAGATTCCCCATTGTTCCCTCACTGTGACACCCAGGTTCAGGAGCTATTTTCTCTATCAGTGGTGCTGCCTTTCTCATACCCAACCTGCTCTGCCCATTCGCCTTTCCTTTCTGGCTTCCACAGTCATCTGGGTGTGCAAACCCTGGCTTATAAATGCCCCAGGTTGGTGAGTGAAGGAAGGATGTACAGACCCACCCCCTGTCTTCCCCGCCCCCCCCCCCCCTCAAGGAGTTGAGACTCCCTGATTCTCTGGAAGCCGGACGCTTCCCTGGACCTGCTATTGCAAAAGGAAGTAGCCGCCAGGGGTACTGACCCTGCTGATGGAGAAGAGCAGCCCTGGCCGGTCAGAGCAAACACCCGTGAAACAGAAGCGCAGCTTCCAGTAGAAGAGGTGCTCCCAGATGAAGGTGATGAGGCTGAGGGCCATGGCAGCTGCCAGCATGTAGAACACGCCTGCCATGTTGTCGATGTCCAGCTGGCTGCTCATCACCTCGTTCTTCTCGTGGTGGCAGATCCCCGTGAGCCACAGTGTCTCCAGCTCCTCCATCTCACCTGAGCAGAAGACAAGACCCAAGGCAGTGAGGAGCAGCACATGCACTCTGGGACAAGCACCTTCGGGTTCGGGACAAACACGTGTGACTTATGGCTATGTAACGTGGAGGCAAGTTACTGACTCTCCTGATCTGTGTCCACTCATGTGTTGAGTGAACATAATAATAATAATACCTACCTAATGTCATTGTAGGAGGATGAAAAGAGATAATGTACGAAGAGTTTGGTACAGTCTCTTTTTTTGTTTTTTTTGCCTCTTTTGGGTCATTATCATTATTTTCTGTCCATCCTGTTTTTCTCTATCCTGACCCTGAACACACCCAATCCTGGAGCAGGGCAGGGGATACACTGGCAACCTGCTATAGGGGAAAGACCGGCAGTCCAGTTAGGACTCCATCATTTAAATTGGAGCCACAGTTATTCTGCCTGTGAAGTGGGTATAAAAATACTGCATAGTTCCTAGATTTGTGGTGAGGTTCAAACGAGCTCCCATACGCAAAATTACAAAATGATTTGGATTACAGGAACTTCTCATAAATTGTAGCCTTCGTGAGATTGTCATGAAGGAAAAGCCCAGCGCAGTGCCTGGCACACAGTCATCCTCAGATATATTAGTTTCTTCTTTCCTCTTTCTTTAAAAGAATATCTAAGATTATTCCAAAAAAATCACCCACAAGCAGTGCACTCGGGGCACAGGCATTCATTGAAAAGAGATGCCAACTGGCTCTGAGTGGCCCCTTGCAAACTAAATACTTCCCCACTTCAGTAAGCAATGAAAAAAGCAGGTGGGGTTTCCAAAGGAAGAAGGTAGTAGGCATACTTAGAATTATTTTGTCTCTCTTTCATTTAGGAGGACATTGTCTGGCCTAAATGGCTAGCAAGTGTACTAACTGTCTAGCAATTCACTCAACTACGGCACCTAGACCATGATTCAGCCTTTAAAAACTGTCCTTCAAGGCAGTGACAATCAAGGGAGATGGATGTGTTTGATGGAAGGTAGGACTATATTGTGTGCATGTATATTCTCCAAGATACAAGAGACATGCAGAGAAAAATAAAGAAAATCCTCCACATGTTTATTTGATCCCTGTTGAAGAAGTTAATATAATGAGTGTTTTCATACTGTTCTCTTTTTCGGTTTTGAGGAATCAGCGTGTGTTGTTTTGGTTTGTTCTCACTCTTAACTGATTTGATGGAACATGGAAATCTAAGTCACCAATTATTTTTTCTTGACCTTTTGAAGATGTTATGTTTTCTTCTGATCTAGACTGCAGCCGTTATTAGAAGGCAGCTCATAATTACTTGCTATGCAATTTCTATTTTCTCTCCACTTGCTTCTGAGAATTTCAATTTGTCTTTGGTGTGGGTTTGTTTTATTTGTCCTGCTCCGGACTCAGTGTGAGTCTTCCATCTGGTGACTCATAACTTTAATTCTGGAAAAATCTCACCCATCGTTGCTTTGCGAACTAACTCTCCCATCCTATCTTTAAAAAAATGAATAGACTTTAATTATTAGAGTAGTTTTAAATATAATGAAAAACTGAGCAGAAGGTTCAGGAAGTTTCCATATACTTACTGCCCCCATTCCCCTCAGTTTCTTCTATTAACATCTGACATTGGTGTGGTAAACTGTTCTACAGTTTATGAACCAATCTCGATACATTATTATTAACTAAAGTCCATAGTTTACATTAGGGTTCACTTTTTGTGTTGTAGTTCTGTGGGTTTTGCTGAATGCTTAATGTCATGTATCCACCATTCCAGTATTATAGAGTATTTTCACTGCACTAAAAATCCCCCATGCTCCAACTATTCATTTCTCTCCATCCTCCATCCCAACCACTGGCTACCTGTCTGTAGTTTTGTCTTTTCCAGAACATCGTATGGTCGGAACCATACAGTACATAGCCTTTTCATACAGTATGCTCTTAAGGTTCTTTTGTGGGTTTCAGCTGCTTGATAGCACATTTCTTTTTATTGCCAAATAACATTCTATTGCATAGATGTACAGTCTGTTTGTCCATTCGCCTGCTGAAGGACATCTTGGCTGCTCCCAAGTTTCACCAATTATGAATAAACTGCTCTAAACATTCATGTGCAGGTGTTTCTGTGGACCTAAGTTTTCAACTCATTTGGGTAAATACCTAGGGGCATATTGCTAGATTGCATGCATGGTAAGACTATGTTTAGCTTTATAGGAAATTACCAAGCTGCTTTCTAAAGGGGCTGCTGTGCCGTTGTACATTCCCACCTGCAACAGGTGAGTTCCTTTTGCTCCACGTCCTCACCAGCACTGACTAATGTTGTCAGTGTTTTGGATTTTAGCCATCCTAATAAGGTGTGTTGGGGTATCATAATTCTCTGATGATCCATGATCATCCTATCTTTTATTTCTTTCTGAAGATGTTGTGTAAATTATTCTGGACGGTCTCATTCTATCCTCTATGTTGTTCACTTTGTTTTAATATTTTCCATTCCTTTATCTCTCTGTCCTGCAGTTGAATGACCCGCATATGTTCTAGTTCATTTATTCTTTCATTAGTAACATTTAGCTTTATGTTTTCATTTTCATCTATTGTAAGTGTGACATGCATCTGGCCCTTTTAAAGTTCTGCCTGTTCTTTTTTATCGTAATGTTTTACTCTTTTGTTATTTTTAAAACTTTTCTATGTAATCATTTCAACCCTACAGTGGTTCAGGTTATTCTCTGCACTGCCCCCTCCCCGCTCCCTTGGTTCTTGGGGTTTGCCATCTTCTGTCTGTTATGAGCGCTGACTCTCGTGGTAGGTTACTTCCCTGGGAAATTAGTAATTTTTGATTATGAGCTAATCTTCAGCAGAGTTGTTCTCCGTTATACCCCATGGGGCTCCCAAGCATGTGTGGCTATAGAAATGCCCCTGCAGCAGGGTCCTGGGTTTGCAACCACCATGGTTCCAGGGACTTTCAATGCACCAGTTTTTGTACGAAAAAAAATGTTACTGTAATTACCGCACCATGTAAGTAGTATACATTTAGACCTCCATCCTCATTTTGGTTTTAATTTCTCATTCAGAGCTTCAAACAGATGGCAAAGCTTCTTGCACTTTCCTTGCTTTGATGGACAGTTTCTTCTAATCTCCTCTTCACAAATGCGTTGAATCACTGAAGGTCTCAGATTCGTGCAGTGGTATCATTTTTACTCCCTTAGCACAATCCAGGGCACCCATGTGGATGCTAATGCCCCATCTCCACCCCTAGGGCTATGTCCCCATAGGCTGCTGCCCTCAGCTGAAAAGCACCATGAGAATATCTCATCCCCTTCTGTTTATGCACCTAACAGTTGCTCTTCTTTTTACCTTGACTGTGCATTGTGTGAAGGTGTGTGTGTGAATGTTTGTGTGTACGATTGCATTTCATCCTGAGTTTCGTGTTTGCAGCACGAATGGACTCATGTCCATGTGGTTTTCCATTGTACCACAACCGCATATACATGTATAATTTTTGTAATCAGGATGTAAGCAGTATACGTATTTGTGGAAGGAGAAAATAGGAAATGTACATCTTTAGAAGTTCTTCACTGGGGAGGAAGGGTGCTGGTTAATCAGTGGTGCCGGCACAGGGATGGGAAGGGATGTCTTGATCCCAAGTCCTATCCTTCCACCAGCCTCCAGGGTTTTCAGTCACTAATGTCACGGGAGGCTCTGCCGTGTCATCTCGCTGTCCACCTAACACCACCACCCAACTTGTCCATGTTCCACTTTTGCTCTGCATCTCAGGATGTAGTGATTTGTCTTCTAATAAATCTTGGATGCCATCCCCTCGGAGGGACAGTGTGCTGCCTCCTCCCTCTCCCCTGGGGGTCTGTGAGGACACGAAAACGGGTCTTCTCTCCCCGCTTTGTGAAATTCCCAGCACGTCCTCCTCTTGGTGATGTCCGGAAGACAGCCCAGTTTGTGTGCCTGTAACAAGATCAGCCTGGATAGAAGAAATACCATCCGAGTCCCTGCAGAATGTGAACATAAAGATGTTTCCTCTGCCCAAACAATGCCTCTCTTTGAAGAAGTCAACGTGGTAAACCAGACCCGCACCCCGAAAGGAGAACAAAATACGCAGTCCTCAATACCAATTACAGCCTGCTCCGACCACTCTCCCGTTAATCATTTCCTGCCTCAGAGCCTTCTGCTACGAGTGTATTGAACTGCAGTTCAAATACTTTATTTCGTTTTTAATTTACTTGAGTATATTGTAATCTCTTTGAGGGAGACCAGGGACCATGGTTTATGATTTTGGCATTTCTCATGGCCTACAGCACATAATAAGCACTGAATCCATACTTTCTGTTTCTCTCCTTACATTCCCAGGCTTAAATTGGACAGCATGCGAAAATGTGCAGGTCTGTTGGGCAAGTGTTTCTGCCATATGAGCAGAGAAAATACAGAGCCAGAGGGGACTTGCAGTGGACTTGAGAGCAAAAGCCTGGAAGTGAGCATGTCCTTGGCTGCATGAAGCAGCAAATGCCATCTTTCCCAAGTAGCAACTCCGCGATGTTCACTCGGCTGTCAGTTGCTCCATTACAAAGAGGCCATGCTCCCTGTCGATGTGATCTCATAAACTGGAGCTGGTAAATGGGACAATTAAATGTCTTTCCTGCAGCAGATGCGTTCTGACTGGAAAGACAAAAGCTAAGCGCTCTCCGGGGAGCCAAGGGAGCCTGAGCAGCTTTGAGTTTGCAGCCAGGCCCGTATTGTCTTCCTCTCTCCACCAGAGAGCTGGGAGCCCAGAGCTCGCTCGCTCTCTCTATTTATACCTCTGATGTCAGACAGGAAGCTCATGCACACGTGAGATGGCCTCTGTATCCATGGAATCTGCTACACCTGTTCAAAAGTTCTTCCTATCTCTGTGTTCGGGGAGGAAGGTGTTGCAGCACAGCCTCCCTGCCAGCCTCGGCGTTCTGCGCCTCCCTAGGAAGCCTGCACGTCCACGCAGGGTATCTCAATCCTCTCTCTTCCCTAATGTTGCCA